CCAACCGACCAACTGATCCACCGACCAACCAACCAACCAACCGACTGACTGACCAACCAACCGACTGATCCACCGACCAACCAACCAACTAACCGACAAGCCAACCACTGAACCAATAGATTGACCGACCAACTGACTAACCCTCAAACTGACAGACCAATTGACCGACCAATCAAACAATCAACTCACTGACCAACCAACCAAATAACCGACCGCAAAACTGGCTCATGAGATGGAGCGGGTCCTGCAGCCTACATGCCAAAGAGAGGCAAGACATTGACGGCTGTGCCCACAGTGTGTGAATCATGTCTAGTAGAAAAAGCTGCAGTGTTTAGTGAATGGGACGTTTACTGTAAAGCACTTATAAACTTATACACTTATAAAACTAGAAAAGATGAATATACAGTCTATTTATTTCCTCTTATACAGCTTCCACAAAGGTTACACTGTCAAAGGACGTCATTAATTGATAACATCTAAGTCACTTATGTAACATGTTTGGCTCTTGGATTCTCTCACCGCACATCAGGACATCATGTTTTAAGAACACGTTTCTGTTCTCAGCTCATCAGAGAAAACACAGAAAAATCACACACAGCATTGACAGTATTTTTATTTTCTGACGGATACTAAATTTCTTTCTTTTTGACCTCAAGCCAAACTCTTACATAGGATCCACTTTAATGTGCACAAACTGCAAATTATCGGCCAGTAGTTTGAAAGCAAACAATCATCCTGCTGGGTGATGTGAACCCACAGAGGTTTCAGCTGCTGAGGGCGTTAATGTGCTATGTTCATCCAGCATCAACATCACAGCGGTGATGCAGCTCTGGGTGCCGTGGAACAGCCGACTGCTGCATGTAGTCAGCTCGCTGGCTGCTTACATGAGACTTCAAACGTTCTCTCTCTGGGGGGTGGCACCATTACTCCCCCTCCCCCCAACCCCCCACTGTTTTTACCTAAAGGAGTGGCCATCCTTCATGTTCTAAACTACATATGTCCACAGAGCTGCAATGCTCTGAACACCCCCGTGCTTCAGCATACGATGTGGGTATGATTGTGTCTCTGTATGCACAACACTGAATTTTGTGTCTCGTGGGTTTGAATTCACATGGCTTTGTCCTCATTTCTCTCTGCATTCATTTAAATACAATTAACACTTCTTAAGCCATTTGTCCTTCTAGCCTACACATCAGTGTCTCATTGCAGTTCTGGCAGGTGTTTTGTTCTCAGAAAACAAAATTGGTTTTGCTGCTTTATCACACTTATGAAAGCAGAGTTTTTGAAAATCTGCACTGTTTAAAAACCTCCCAGACGAGTCGCAGACAACGATCTGATTTACTGTCAGAAATCTAGTTGAAGTCTGCGACAACTGTCAAGCAATAACCATGTGTGTCAGTGTAGCTTCATTAACTGCACTGGGGTCGGGTTCAGACACAAAAACCTGTTCGTTACAACAGACATCCACTGAAGTGTTTCACCCCCTCCAGCTTGATGTGTCACACTGTGAGCAGGAGGATCACTAGAATCACAGTGTCTATTCTCACGTGAGATTTCTTGATTAAACTCAGTTCATGGACCAGTTGGGGGTTTCTCCTGATATAAGAACATGTGTGTCAGATCATGTAATGTGTCCATCCTATGGGATTAACTCAAGACTGCAAGGCTCCCGTTCACAAGGCAGAAAATGTGATCCGCCTACTTTGAAAGTCCTGAATTGGGTTTTAGTGTGGACAGGGTGTTATTCTTATATTCAAACACATGTTGTTGACAGGTTAAATGTTTGTCAGGAAATCAAACAATGATTTCACAGTAATTCACATTATATAGAAAAGCTGTTAAAGTAAATTACATCTTGCTGTAATTGCACATGACAGATTAGTGCTACTCTCTGCTGGGGGAGCGTCTATATTACGGGCATAATGTTTGGAGTATTTCTTGGAGACAGTCAACAGCTCATTAATCCACCGCTGTGAGTTGGAGCAACCTACACTTCTCAAAATGTCTCTTGCACGTGTCTTTTTGCAGTATATCAGTAACATAACCTTGAGATGTCATTAACAGTTTGTATCCCGAACGACCTGCACGGACTTGAACTGTGAGGTCCACATTAATCCTTCAGCCTCCAGCCTAATTAGCTTGCATCAAATTAGAAAGTTTTTTCCTTGGCTCTTTGTATGCAACAAATTATCTTTTAATAGACAAGATCAATTGAGGTGAGAGCAGGTGAGCAGATATATTCCTTCTGAAACAACTACAACTGCAACTAACCTCAGACATTTCTGCCAGGAGGAGGCTCACATATTTCAAAATTCAAATACAAGCAGAATAATTTATGCTCATGCTTTTTATCATAATTTGTTAAGAGCTTTGCCTAAAGTCAGAATCACGGCCAGTTTGATAAAACAAAGTAAAGAAAAGACTGAATTTGTGCAAACACACCTGTAATTTGTACTCTGGGTGACCTTAGTATGAGCTCAGGGAAAGAAAAGCAGAAGGCTTTA